CTCCTCTCTCTCTCTCTCTCTTATATTCAGATCATCAGCTCAGCTCCAACAATGAACTGTTCCATTTATAAATTTTTCACATATCTATGAGAAGTGTTATACATGGACGAGCATGTGGTTGCCGTACTGTGTTAAAGCTTTAATCAGATATTAAAGGCTAACAGAAGCAGTAGCATTTACAAATAGCAGCGTATCTAAAAGTATGAGACAACAACAAACAAAAAAACATACCATTAAGAGCCGTGCTTGCACAGGTTCTGTGCGATCCTCTTCACTAATATACTCTGAGTCTCAATTGGAAAATGTGTTTCAAATTTTCTCCTCTCTCTCTCTCTCTCTTATATTCAGATCATCAGCTCAGCTCCAACAATGAACTGTTCCATTTATAAATTTTTCACATATCTATGAGAAGTGTTATACATGGACGAGCATGTGGTTGCCGTACTGTGTTAAAGCTTTAATCAGATATTAAAGGCTAACAGAAGCAGTAGCATTTACAAATAGCAGCGTATCTAAAAGTATGAGACAACAACAAACAAAAAAACATACCATTAAGAGCCGTGCTTGCACAGGTTCTGTGCGATCCTCTTCACTAATATTCTCTGAGTCTCAATTGGGCTCAAATTGATAAGCAATATAGACGACGTCATTGTTTACAATATAACACCGGAGCACATGCCACTTAGGTGAGGCGGTTTAGCCAGTAACAACACACTGGACCAGCTAACCAATCTGACCCCATTGCGTATTTCTGAGGTAGGGGCTTCATAAAACCAGGAAATGATCAGCATAGGGGAAGGGACAGAGTGGTGTGGAATAAAGGTAAATTATGTGAAAAATAATACGTTGTTATTATTTATTGATGTTAATGTTTTGTTTGTTTTTTTAAATGAAGCATTAACACGTAAGACTGCACACCATAAACGCAATCAAGCCTAGAAAAAAGTCAACCACCCCTTAATTTCTTTTTGCAGTTGCTGTCATAGCAACAGGCCTGTTAGCTTAATCCTGCACAGGAACAGGCTTATTTCATAATTGAAAATAATTAAAATAGTTTATTAAAAAGTTAAAATAGTTAGTTATAATAGTCAACAATGTTGTGTAATCCATAATAATTGTAACCAATGACCAATTTTACACTTTGAAATGAGCTGTTAAGGAATAATTCTCATAATTTAATTGCAGTCATACACACATTACATACAGTTTGACTGAGCCATGCATTAATTTTAATGGTGAGCTTTATTCAAGAGGCTTGATGCATCGCAGGAGATGCAGACCACTTTTCAAATCTCAGAATGTTTTTATGACGCACAGTTAATTAACAAAGTCAGTTATGTCTTAAGATGGATCTAATGGATTAAGAAACTTTAATGTTGTCATGTATAACAAATCCACTTCAAAATTAAATGAATTGCCAATTACAATATTCTTTACATAAAAAAATACAAAGCCTGTACAAATACTATAAATGGTGAAAAAATAATTGGGAATCGTTTGAAAAACTGTTTTATATAGGCCTAATTTTAATCGCTAGGCTATTTCCTTGAGATTAATTGATGTCATTACGTCTTAAAGGAGTCATATGATGCGATTTCTAATTTTCCTTTTCTTTAGTGTGTTATGTAGCTATTTGTGCATGTATAAGATCTGCAGAGTTACAAAGCTCAAAGTCTCCCACAAAATGATTTATGCTATCTAAACGAGAAGGCTGATCTAAACCGGGCTAAAACGCCTCATTCAAACACGCCCCCACATCTCTACGTCACTGTGCAAATATTTGCGTAATGCCGCCCAAATGTTGTTTGTGTGCCGCGTTGTGTGTGTGTGTGTGTGTGCGTGAGAGAGAGACAGGGTCACATCACAGTGGAGTAAGCTTTCTTAATCGCGGCTTGTGTACTGCAAATACATACGAGCATCATCACTGTGTCTGTCACGCAACTCTGTTCCACTTTCAGGCTTGAACTGATGGTAAAACTAAGGACATTATGTACTGTCTTTACATTTATGTTGAAAGCTGAAGCTCGCGATTATGGAAAGGGGCGTTACATTTCCGACGCATGCTTGTGGTGTTCGGCCAATCACAATTCACTGGGTCAGCTGGCCAATCAGAGCAGATTGTGCTTGTCGGAAGGAGGGGCTTTGTAGAAAATGATGAGTTTGAGAGAGGCGGGGCATAGAGGAACTACAATAATGTACAGTATTTGAAAAATAATGTGTTTTTTGAACATTAAAGCATGTCAACATATTCTGTTACACCAAATACACAAAATAATGATCTTTAAAATAACATCATACGACCCCTTTAACGCTGTCTCGCCGCTAGCCAAACTATGCATTGCTGATAATGGTTTCGAGTATCAATATATCTGCCCTTTCAAATGAACATGTCAACATGGAGTAGGGCTGCTCAATTATGGTAAAAATCATAATCACAATTATTTTGGTCAATATTGTAATCACGATTATTTAACCCGATTATGAGTGAACCATATGACCAAAACTTTGAGGGATTTATTTAAAGATAGTGATATATCAAATACATATTTTCTGTAAATAAGGTTGGTATGACACATTTTAGAGACCAGCGAAATTTCACAATTGTCAATACCACAGCAGAATACTAGGGTATAATATTAGCTAGTAAAAAACAAACAAACAAAAAAAAGTCCTAAAAATTATTGAAAATAATTAACTGTCAGTAATAAAAAGCAAAGGACGAATACAATGGAATAAAAAGATACAAATGAAACTGTGAATGAAGGTGGGGTTTTTTTGTTTTTTTTTAAGGCTAATACAAGTCTAAAGTAGGCTAGGCTATTCAGTTAAAGGGGTCATATGATGCTGCTAAAAAGAACATTATTTGGTGTAATGAAATGTGTTTATGTGGTTTAAAGTTTAAAAAACACATAATTTTCCACATACTGTACATTATTGTTTCTCCTCTATGCCCCGCCTTTCTGAAACGTGTCGATTTTTACAAAGCTCATCGGTCTGAAAAAGCGAGGTGTGCTGTGATTGGCCAGCTATCCAGTGCGTTGTGATTGGCCGAATACCTCAAGCGTGTGACGGAAATGTTACACCCCTTACCATACTGTGATGCCGTGTCCGGCCGGAGCGACGAGACAAAAACATTAAAACCCATTACAAACGGGGCATTTGTTGCATCCAGTGGGGACATAATTACTGATTATAATGACTTATACTGTATTTTTACGCATTGCGTTGCATCGCGCCGCGTAAACATAAAACCCTGTCTGCATTTGTGATCGGAGAAATGACAAACAACAAATGCTACTCTACACTGCCCAAAACTCGCGTTTGAATCATCAGTGGCAAATCCTTTAAATGAAAACGTACTTACAGAATGTGAGTCAGAACTGCCGGCATTGTAGTCTACTCTACCAGGATCAGGAAACAGTTCTCCATAAAATGTGCTGCACACATCTGGATTTGGGTTAAACTCTTCTGGAACAGTGTAGTAAATACAACTTAACCACTGATTTGTAGTCGTGTCCTCTTTTGGAAGACCAAACAAAGTAGTTTCGCTTTCACAACAAAAAACACTGCGGCCTAGCGTGAGCGAGGCGGCGGGGTCGAGAACGGCGCGCCCGG